ATTCTAAAAAGTAATTTTTTTAAATAATTTTAATGAATTAATGATATTTTTACGATTAAAATGATATTGAATACGATATAATTCGGATAATTTTTACTTATTGTTAGATAAAGAAAAAAATTTATTATCTAATTTTTAAATTTGTACCTAATTAAAATTTATCCGAATAATGTCGCGTTTTTTTATGTCATTTCATTTGTAAAAATCTTATCAACTAAAATTACGTTTAATAATATAAGAAATATAAAAATTTTATAAAAGTCTTTATATATCCAATAAGTGCACTTTGTTTAACTTATTTTCGCTCCGAAGCGTGTGATGGATAAATAAAGGCGAAGAACCTCGTTTTTCGAGCGAAAATAGTATTAAGCGTATCTATCGTTATGTTTATATTCAAAAGACTTTGTAATATTAATTATCTTATTGTTTTAATTAATATCAAACATTTAAAGCAATATTAAATTATGCTTTTAATTTATATAACTTTTTATTATTAATTCTTTTTTTATTAATTATATTATTTAATTAATTTTTTTAATTTATAAATTCAGTTGGATTAATTCAGCATACTAGTGTGCACCGGGAGAGCTCCGATTGCCTCCGTTTGACATTCCCACAGTTATGGATTTAGCACGGACATGCGGATGTGCAATCAATTCCAGAGAATAGAAAAGAGAAAAAGGAAATCAGATAATATAAGATTTATATCAGATAATATAAGATTTAAGATTTCTCAGTATATTACGTTTTTAATTAGATTCTGGCAGACATTTTGTAAAATTTGTTCTTAATTTGATTGTCTGGATTATAATCATACATAATATTTATAAATATAAATTGAATTGAATTAAGATAGAATCACAGTTATTGTTGTATTTGTGACTCGGGTGAAGATGACATTAAAACCAATTCTTCAGCATTTAATTCGGAATCCTTGTGTCGCAAAGTCGATGAATATGAAAAATCTCCATGATCCAATCTTTTCATTTCCGTTGCTTTTTTTGTAACAATATTAATTGCATCGTCAAGTTCTTTATTAGATAATACATCGTCTAAAAAATGAACGTAACAGATTTAATTGCGATTTATTTTTTTCTTACATAGACCATTTTAATTTAAATGTTACATCTCATCCACATACATAGTATAAATAGAGTAATTATCACCCTATCCCCCCCCTCCGGGGTTATCATTCTCTATGGTAACTATTACATAACTCATACGTACCATGAAGAATATCTGCGATGTTTTCTTCATTTTTGATCAGACGAATATATTTATTATCAGCGAGAATGTCGAAACTTTCCACGACATCGGAATTAAGACGCAACAACCAAAATCGATTTCTTTCCAGATTCAATCTTTTCGATAGCATTTCGATACCCTGTCATGAATATTATATGTATTTTGAATGAGGGGCAATATCATTCATGAATCGATCCCAAGAAATTATTTTTCAATTTCGCTTATAAACGATAACCGATACCTTGATTGAAGTGTAATCAAGATTAGTGAATCTTTCGCAATCTACGATCAATGGGACATCATCTTGTTCGTTTCTGGCTATACTCATTACTTTATCGCAGAAAAAAGTTACTGCGGGATAATAGAGACATATATCGGGCTTTAACATTATATATCTATTTCCTAAATGAGTCTATATATATATTATTGCATTTATTTAATTATAATATATATAAAATATATATTATTGCATGTATATATATGTGTATACTGTATTTTATACTAACACATCATACACATTTCATGCACGCGGAACATCGTAAGTTCCTCGTTTTACCTTACACTTGAAGACTTGAACCGTCGGTCTCGCGGTCGGTTTAATGAAGAAGATTAGATTGAAAAAGACACCCAGAAGCAGCCCAATCTCGATGCTGATAAGAACAGAGATCAAGAAGGTACCTATCGCTGCGATGGCATCCGTTTCTAAAAAAAAAATATATTTAATATTAGATAGGTGTATATCTCCTCTGCATCTCGACCAATCTGTCTACACGGAGATGATGTGATACGGACTATATCCCTTCCAAAGCAGTTTAAAAATCTTCATGTCAATCATGAACATTACGGCGGTTATCAGCACCGCTGATAGCGTCGCGCGTGGAATGTAATTAAAGTACGGCGTTAAAAAGCTCAGCGCCAACAATGTCATGGTTCCTGCAAAGGAAAGAAATGTCAATATCATTTCTTACTTTTAATATTTTCTGTTTTTCAATATATTAGATTAATGGTATTGTGTTACCGGAATATAAACCGGCCATAGGAGTTTGTATGCCACTGGCGCTACCGACTGCGCTTCGTGTGAATGCACCGGTGGTGGGCATCGATGATACAAAGCTGCCGAATATATTACAGAGACCGAGTGTTAGCATCTCCTGCGTCGCATTAACGGCTGCGTCGATCGCTATATTTATATTATCAATATTTATAAAACTAATCAAAGATTGATAAAATCAAATCTAAGAATATTCAGCAATTATTATTAAGAATTCATTTCTAGAAGAAATTTTATAATGGGAAAACAATTTCTGCCAATGAGATGTATCTAATATTATAATCCAACAATTTTTCTCTCTTTTTCTCATATCATTTCACATAATGTATTTTCGTATTGTAGAACGTAAATTTAAAATACTTTATCACAGATATTGCAAATTTTTCATAAATCTTGATCTTATACGATTAACACATATATAAGGGTATAAGTGATCTGCTTGATTTGAAATTGAAAAACAATTGATACCAAACGCTTTGGCTATCGCCACATTCGCCAGGATCGCTATGAGAGGAAGTATCACTATTCCTGAGCCGTAATGAACGCACATGTCCAGGAACGTGTAAGTTTGATTTCCCACTTGTACTGAGAAAGGCGGTAACGATACTGTGGGAAGACCGAATTTTATTTGCCCTATAAAATAAAAGTATTAAGATGCGACAAAACTTTATGAATAAATTAGGAATGAAAAGAAACGGCGACAAATAATATAATAGATACATCGAATAAATTGAAGACTTAATGATATCAATGATATCAATTTATCGATTTTAATTATTTTACAATAACTATTAAATATGCGAAATATTTCAAGTCTACGGTAGCTATCAATTTTATCGTTAAAAAATCAGCTGTTACATTTACTTAATGATCGATAATACCGACAATTACTGACAATAATGAAATTATAACTAAAATCGAAACCTGAAACCCTAAATGGAATGGATCCTGTTGCTTCAAATTGATAAGCTATTACGCCTGTTATAAATACTATGAGAGCATTTCGACCAATGGACAAATACCAAAGTATCTTCTTTATCGTTGTATTTCTAACAGAGTTTTTTTTATCTCTCATACAAAAACAATCGATGTCTTTCAGTTTCTAGAAATAGAATTTATGAATATAACTCCTCCACAATATTGTTATATATATATATACATGTAAATTATCCGCTTATAATACCGAAACTTACTCTGAAAATCAGAAGAAATATGATGCTGCAGATTCCGAGTGTGACGTCGGCTAGTCGGACCTTATTCATATTTTTAAACAATTTGTACAAATTATCTAAAATATTAGCTGATTTATATTTCAATCCAAGAAGCCCCTGCAGCTGAGCAATAATTATAATGACTGACGTTGCCGAAATAAAACCTGATGTCACCGGAATCGAAATAAAATCTACCATGCATCCTACAGTAAAAATCATATCAATAATTATTATTATATATATATTTTAGATCAACATATTTATTGTTTGTAAATAATGCAATAAAAGAAACTGTAATAAAACAAAACATTTGTAAATAAACATATTTCCGTGTGTATAGTTTAATTGATTAAATAATTTCATGATACCAGCCTAAATTTAACACGCCCATCAAAAACTCCACGCATCCGACCAAAAAACACAGGAGTGTTACAAAATCCGGCGGCATGTCACGTGTATATTGCAGTGTCACAAGAGCCATCAAGGACGATGGACCAATCGAGACCTCTTTGATAGTCCCGAAGAAGATGTATAAGAAACCGCCCACGAAACAAGAATATAAGCCATACTAAAAACGTTATTTATCATGTGGCATTCTTATAATCACAGATACCGTAGTGGTATTGCATCCTAATAAAGATACTTAAAACATTTTAGAACAATTTAGCATTTAAAAAAACAACGGCATTGGAAAGAAGGAACTATCTACGATCTTAAAGCATTGTAAATAAATGTATACTCTCTTTGTTTTTCTTTATTTTCGTACATTACATAAACGTTAATACGACAAGAGCGAGCAGAAAGAACGAAGGCAACAAGCTAAGAAATACCTGTGCAGTCAGACCAGCTAGTGCCGCGTATGCTATACTCTGGGGAATCATAGTCAAGCCCAGAGTGATGCCCGCTATAAAATCCGCCACAGCCTCCGTTCGGGTGTATCGCGGTAGCCAGCCGAGCACTGGCACGTACTTAGCTATCATATCGGAGGACGATTTCCGTTCCGGCATCGGTAGCGAATAGACTTCCTCGTCGGAAATCTTTGTGGATGCAGACATCACGTTCGAAATGAGATTCTAATGAATCAGTTGACTATTTCGCTATTTTACGATCGAAAGCGGATTTTAATATCGAATCCGATTAATTACGCGGTTATTCGCACTTGCCGCACCTTGCTTATCGATACTGGCGGCGCTCTCGCGTCAGCTGCTTGGAGTCTTATCGTCGCCGACGCATCTATCCCAAATCTCAATACAAACGACACAATAAAATCCTATTAATTGCGTAATTAATTCTCACCGGTATTGTACAGTGTTGACAGTTTGATAAAAAGAAGCACCAAAGATCTTGGTAGATTAACAACAGCTGACGAGTAACTAGTGTACTTCTACATGCTATCTCTTTAATTCTTTTGCAATATCAAACAAGACATCCAACCTGATTTCGGCACATCTGAAACTTTTTCTACGCGTCTTTCCTGGAATCGAAACGGAGAGTCATTTTCATTGATAAAATTTTATTATGTCTTCTCGACGAAAAATCGTTGCGCAAAGACTAGAGATATGATTGATAGAATATGACGCGTATAATGCTCTCATGATATAAAAGCATGTGTTATTTCACGTATTACTCGATATAGCTAATTTAGAGATTTTGTTATGTTGAATTTCAAACGGTCATTTTGAAAAAAATATATCGAGAAATATCTCGTACATATGCCATGTATAATTTATTTTATTTCCACTTGTTTTGTATCCAGGACAGCAAAGTGTCGCTATTTTGAATTTTCTATAAGAAAAAAATGTGCATTGTCGAATAAAAAAAGTGAAAAGGAGATTGAAAAAGCGCCACGATGTGTCGCATAATATGATAATGGTAACATATCATATATAATAATAATAATAATATTAAAATGGTAACAATAATTAATAATACAAATAATAATACAATAATATGGCTGCTTCATCTAGAATCTTTAAGTTAAAAATCCATTTTAAACGTAGCGCAAGCGCGTCATATTTTTATCTCGCGCCTGGAATATAATAACTTTCGCGAACAATCAACGGACATTTAGCGCAGCTTCTTGTTGACTTGATCGATCTGCTCGTCGATCCTTTGAGAAGTTCCCCTGAATTTGTTCGGTTCGGGCCCGATCATCTGTATGAGCTGCGGCACCTCCTGGCCGCTGATCTGCGTGAAACGCGCGAGCGATTTCATGCACGCGTACAACTGTTCCTCCGCGGGACTACCGTTAAAGTATTGTAGCAACGCCATCGTCAATTCCACAGCAACGTCGTCGAACACCTATAGTTTACACATTGCGTGAGAATATATACAGGAATAATGTCACATATCATATTTGCGAGACGAAAAAAAAAGATGTAAACAGATATAAAAATTCTGTTACGACGCGACGTTGACACAAGCTAATGATTGTGGAATTTCAATTTAAATTGTGCTTGCGGAAAGCTTTACATCTATTTCAAAATTAATTTAAAAATGCATCTTTATTTTTCTCATAAAACAGTTATACGCCGTTTCCCTAATTTATTTTTCCGTTCCCACGGAACCGCATAATGTTATGTCAAATTTAGGATTGCGATTTAACGCAAGCCTTAATAAAGTTTGAGAGTTCGCTGTCGCTTTAAGTCCTCTGCAGATTTAGTAATCGTTAGCATATATATAATATTCAAAATATTATCGAACATTCGCGTGTTAAAAAATTGATTGCGCGATTATGGCGCAAGATACCGATAATAATTGACGACTTACCGCAGCGCACGGTTCAATCTAACATCGATTTGGATAGGTACCTTAGAAATGCTGCCTTTCGGTAAAAGTCGCCGCAGATTTTTGCTTTTGTTCATTTTCTGAAAAAACAGTATCCGATTTCTGGAAAAATATCCGTCACACGCAGCGGTACTCGCTGCCTCAATTAGAGAACTTCAAGTTCTAGTGCGCATGCAAACGAGCATTGAGTGAGACACATGATATCCTTGGAACTATTCTTTTTTATTAATGATAAGTATAGAATACCCATTCTTTTTGCTTTTCGTTGCTCGTCCATGAAATAAAATTATCAGCAGGCGAGATGTCCATGTTGACGGCCGCATCGACAGAAACTTTTATATAAAGCTAATTTTTTTTTTCATTAATAAAGGCAGCACTTCTATCTTATGGCATAGTACGAGCGTCGCTTGTTCCTCTCCTACGATACCGGCAAGCACGCATTCCGAAAGCGACATTACAAATGAAATAGCGCATCAAAGGAAATAAATCAATTTAAAAACAACTCCGGTTCATATTTCTTCTTCAATGTGATAGTTTTTTTTTCCAAGTTTGTACGAGTAAAATGTGCAAAAACTTCAACTTCAAAATTTAATGTGCAATGTAAAAAAATGTACAGACAGAAATTTTTGTCAAGATACCTTTGATGCGCGAGGCGCTTATTGCGAACAGGTTATGAAAGTGAAAGCGAGAATCGGCGAGAGATGAGTGAGAATGTTAATCGGATGGCAAGGATACAGACCACAGTTTTTACCTCCTTGCAGGCAAGATTGTGAATGATGGCGGCGCCGCGGATCTGCAGGTCTTCCGAGTTCGAGAGTAACGAGTGCACCGCAACTTTGGTCGTTACTCTTATGTTACTAATGCTTTGATTCTGATGCTGCCACTCGGATATATAGAGTAACCATTCCGAGCTGCTGAGATTCTCAAACATGTTCGCCAACTACGTGAAACAGTTAAAATTTAATCTGTTGGCGTAACTTATCTCGTTAGCCTCATATTCGCAATTATTACAATTAAGATTTTTTATTTTACAAAATTAGCGAATTATTGTTCACGAGAAAAGAATTATTAACATATTTTTTATTTTCAAAATAACAAATGCGTTTTTACTTACGAACTGCGCGAGTGGAAGTTGTTCCTCCTGCGGATGCCGGTCGATATCGAAAGCATAATTCATGATGATGTGTTCTCGCCTATCTTGATGCAACAATAGAATCACATCGTCCTTCAATGCGGCGACCGACAGTACGTTTACCAGTTTTACTCGTGCGTTACTATCCAACGACTTATCATAGAGAACTCGACCTGATTAATTAATTAAGTCAATTGAATATATTTTTAGATTATTTTCAGAAATAGAAACAAAAAATCTAAAATCTGCTTTTGTGGAATTTATTCTCAATACAAATTCAAATTTATAAATTCATTTCAAATTTATTTAAACTTTAGAATTTAAACATGTTTTAAAACAGGTTTTAAAAACATATCGTAGAATTTTGAAAAACTTGGGAGCCATATATATTTGTATCATTTTAATGACTCACCTACGAAGTTCAAGAAGTTATCGCCTAGAGCCCAGGAACCCTCATTCTCCAAAACGTATTGTCGCAGTTCGTCCATGCACGTTCGCTCTTCATCGTTTAACTTTCCCTCCATGGCGCTTATCAAACCTTCATATTCCTCCCGTACGTTCACCAAGTCCTTGAATACTATCGGTGGATCTCGATGGCGTTTCTTCTCTTCTTGTTCACGCTTCTCATCCTCCTCCATCTGCATTACTCGCTCTGACGGTAGCATCTCCGCGCTTTCTCCATTAGCCGTCTGCTGTTGCGTACCACCAACCGCATCTAATAAACAATGATACAATTGAAAATTATTTTCGTGACTTGAAATTGCTTAAGAATTTATATAAATATAGAGCAACTCTATATAGCTCTTTATTTTATTTTATTTTTTTTTTTTTTGTTGTTGTTGAATATTATCATATCGCGAAGTACGAACCGGAAAATTGCATTATGAAACGAAGTTAAAGATAATCAATTTTCGATAAAATTCTACGTACTTTCATGTTCCGCCATATCTGCACAGCAATTGCTTGGTCCGGTACTATTACTGTCGCTGCCAGTGGTCTCCTTGCTGCCCTTTTCCTTCTTTTCCTTCTTCTTCTTTTTCTTTTTTCGATCTTTCTTTGCTAGCTTTTCGTTAATGACGTTCCTCCGTTCTTCTAACGCGATCGAATTCAACCTGCGTCGAAATTATTGTAAAGTATTCGAAAAATTTAAATAATAATCGATTAACATACAAATCAATACCTTGCTTCTTCAATGGCTGTGTTCAGGAGTTGATATTCCGGCGAAGCTTCCCTCTGGATCCTCGCTTCGACAAATCTCTGACCGACCGTGAATCCAGAACTCGCGCTACTACTTAATGTTTCTATCAATGGGCTTAAAGCCTGCCCGATAGGTCTGAAAATAAATATAAATCGTATCGAAACATCTCTCACTTAAAAATAAGTTAAAAAGTATGAATGTTTTTCGAATGTAATATTAGATATCAAATAATAATGATAGCTATATAATGAGACATACGTTTGCAATATTTCTTCCGGTAGATCAAGGATATACTTGGGAATGCCCTTGCCCACCAAGAAATTGCTGAGCTCCTCTGTGAAGGTATTACAGTTGTACTTGAATAGGTGGTACGTACCCGGTCTGAAAGCGCAAAGTCATTGGTCAAGCAAAATCAAATAATTCTCTCGAATAACAAAATCGAATAAATATCAAAAATAAAATAAAAAATAATTATCAGATAATAATTAGCCAAACAATTCTTACGCAATAAAATCGATTCTCCGAAAAAAAGATTTACATAATAAAGATACAAAATACCTTTAATGATGACAATATAAAAAGAAAAAAAGACGAGTTATTTAAAAAATAATAAACTTCGAAAAGATATATAGGTGTAAAAGATATGTATAAAAAATGAATATGACATCTGCTGATGGACGTATATTTCCAAAAATTCAATCACTTTCGAGAAATGGCACAGAAGATGAGCAATATACACCGAACGAAGCAACTCTCGACCGATGATACTCACGCGAACGTGGAAGTTCCCAGGCCGTTTATGTACTCCAGGAAAACCGTATAGGGTAAATAAGTCTCGCCGAGGTTTTCGATTCTCTGCGGCTCTCCTAATTCCGTGCTGCCCTGAAACACGAAATGCCGGCGTTCGATCGCGTTAAAATTACGTCCAAAAAAATCGCGTCGCGTCAACAATGTCAGTTTCGCGGCAACTGCCGATCCGGCAGCAAGTTTCGTTCGCCAGAAATGCGCTTGTTTATATTTAAATCGTCTTTGATCCAAAATCGTCGTATAATTTGGCAAGAATCGCGCATGTCACCATGTTTAAGAGACATTCGATTTCTCTAGCCGAGAGCAGAGATGAAAAAGCGTCGCAATGCAATAATTGCGAATGCACACGACGATAACGATATTCAAGAGTTATAACTATGCATGACTGGCAAAATTGAACGAAACAAGACCTGATCGATTATATATTAACTTCCTCTTTTGCGCAATTAAATCGCGATATGTATGATTCAATATCACCCGAGCGCATATACTTAAAATACAAATAGCCAAGTTAGTTTTTCATCTATCAGAATTATATATATATATATATATATATGTTATAGAGACTTTAATTAAAGATAATAAACAGTCAAAACAAAAATGCTTGCGAAAAAATTGCCTAACTTTATTCATATGTCAAATAAGTTTATATATTAGTTTCTTTTTTTATACTTCTTTGTTCGCCGTTCAATTTGAAAGCACAAAATTCTGATCTTCTGCCGTTTTTGCGGCGCATATAACAAAGAAAGATGTTTTCCGTCGCGTTATATCTTTAAATAACATTCCGCTAACTCAAGGTAAAAGAGCTTAAAATTGCGCCCGATGAAAACAGCGATGCATAGCATTCTTCTTCTAAATATTATTAGCCATATGGAGCGTGCGTTAATTGACTCAACATACACACATACATTCGATTTTTTAGGTCAATATTACAATAATCTGACATACTTCAGAAAGAATTCATTATCTTTCATCATGTGCCCAAATTTAGCTTAATTAATCTTAGAAAGTGTACGACAAGAGAGCTAATAATCTTCAATAAAAATTTATAAAATGTATTATGAATTTCGATTAATTATTAATTAATTTATGTGTAGTGTAAATAAAACAAAACCTTTCTGATAAAATATTTCTAAAAATCAAATTAAAGAGAAGAAAATATAGATCAATATTTTGTATGAATATTGTTGATACTATTGATATTATTTATCATATTATTGTTTCCTCATATTTTTACCTATGAGCATCGGCGACATTATTGTAGCCATCCCTTTGGTAAGATCGTAAATGTACAGTTCCACTGCCGTCCTCACATCTTCCGTGTCCTCCATCTTGTTCTGAAAAAAATATTATTTATGAAATAATATATTTGTACAATATATACATATTGTCATATGTAAATATCTATATATAAGTAATATATAATTGTTCTAAAAATTTATCAAGCATTCTAAATTTAACACATCATTAGTTAGATATCCCAGAAGAGCGAGAGAGAGAGAGAGAAAAAAACAGACAGAATGAGAAAGGTAGAGAGAATATACCACCCCCTCCTGACATTAGTGGCAACGTAATTTTAGAACTACGACAAATCCGCACTTCCCTACGAGAAACCGCCGAAAATAGACGGCCGCGGCACGCGCTGGAGGTGCGATCTCGATCACTTTAGAACGCAAAAGAAGAATGTGCAACGGAAGTGAAGAGCGAAGAGAAAACGAGAAAGAGCCGGGTACAAAGTGTTTATTACACGTTCCGAGGGTTGGATCTTTCGAGAGGGTTGGATCGCGTATAGACGGAGATCACGGTGTCAATAATGTATGGTACATAAATTCTTATGTCGGAAGACATAACAAATTGATGCGTATTGAAAAATGTGAGAAATTCAATAAGAACAAAAATACGAGATTATTTAATAGTCGTAAAAGTAGCATAAATATATAAAAATTTTTAATTGATTTAATAAATATTATTTATGAAATAATATATTTGTACAATATATACATATTGTCATATGTAAATATCTATATATAAGTAATATATAATTGTTCTAAAAATTTATCAAGCATTCTAAATTTAACACATCATTAGTTAGATATCCCACCAAATTCTTACGTTTTTTTTATTCTTAACTTTTATATCTAATGACGTCAAAACATCCACGTGTCTTCCACCCACTTATCCATCGACTTTCTCAAATTCGATTTTATATGACTTTTATATTAAGTTTAAATGCCAAGACATGTTTCTCAAAAACAAGTCTTGGCATATAAACATGTTCACCAACATTTTAATAATAATAATAATAAGACGCGCTAAAAAAAATTTTTTTCAAAAACAGGATAAATCGATAAATCTGCCAAAATAACCGCGGTTATAACTGACGTATAATCAGCCAATATAGAGTCAAAATTAAGACAATTTCCGTTTCGTAAGTAATTTCTATGAATAGTAATGTATCAATATATAAAGTACATTTGTTGTTTTAAAAATGACGTTGGATAAAATAATTGATGGAATTGTCGGAATCGATCCTATCAAGATTGTTTTTCTTTAAACGGTCGAGACACTCATATTGAAAGTCAAAAATAAATATAAAGGTGTCTTGATCATTCTAGACGTTTCAACATACTTTAAACGTTAGTCTCTGCCGTACGTAACTCGAGGACGCAAATATACTATTCACCGCGAATCAAAGAACTATACTCACCGCGTATGATCTAAAATATCTTTTAAAAATGTTTACTTTCTGTGTTTTCAATGTTAAAAACGATGAGGTAAAATATTTTGAGTTTTGAAGCGACTTCGAGTATATCACCCGCGTGCCTAATCGACCATATATATAAAGATTATAAGTGCCAAAAATAAATATCTCAGGTCAAACTCCTCTAAAATAATCTCTATGTGTCTCGAATAATTTTAGAAAGAGAATCTCTGTCCTCCCACATAATAACAATATTCTTTTCGTTCACCATGAATAATCTGATAAATATACTATCCATGAATAATCTGATAACTATAATATCCAAAAATCTACATCGTTTATGGAATAGTTTCGGAATCTTTTCAAGGGGAGGAAATAATTTGGGAAATGTAGCAACTTTTTCTTTTTGTCTTCTTCGATTACGGCAAAAATTGCTTCAATATTTTCACTGCGCACTTATGAAACTAAATGCGATAGTTTAAAAAATTTACCGCAGGAAATCATCTAATACAATATAACGAGCGTTACGGCTTTCACGCGTAATAAAGCCGTGATAAATCAGCGATTTAGACGCGTATGTGTATGTATGAAGTATCATGTAACTATCATTCCTTGGATTCCTTTAATATGTAAATTGCTTGATTTATTCTACTTGCATAATTCAAAAAATATCAAATCTGGAAAAATCCAGAAAAATCCAAATAGTTTTCGAGCTGTAGCATAAATATATAAAAATTTTTAATTGATTTAATAATGTTGATACACGAGATTTTTAATAAAAATGAAAATAAAACGCGGGGAACTTTGCCCAAAAGTCAAGAGATATAAATAGTAATTGACAAATATTACTATATAACAAATAATATTATATTTAATTAGCGTATTAAGAGACAGTAAATTAGTCGATCGTTAAATTTCGTGGTAAATCTCTCTCGAATTTAAGAAAAACTAAAAACCGGAACTATAACTGTGTTATTTCACAAATTACAATCGCCGAGAATCATTGTAATCATAAATGTAACGATGAAAGTAACAATTTGCTTTTAGATCTATTCCTCGATCCATCTTCGCGAATCTTCGACGTTCTAAAATCGCACTCTGTTGCCTTCTTAGCATCCGTCATTCTAGATCACTCGATACCGCTCGATCTCTCATTCACTCGCGACAAAACAATGCGCACACTTACGTATCGGAAAAATTCCGCAGAATCACCGATCGAAGGCGAGAAAAAAATTTTCGCGAAACTGTTCCTTTCAAGAGCGCTTCCGAGAGCGGGAAACGGTTCGCACGCGGACTGCCGGCCGCGGGTGCTCGGAGATGCTGCGATGGAGCCGGCGAACGAGACGCCGACGATGAAGGATGATCGGAGCTCGCGTATGGCGGCGCGCGCACTTCGCGATTCACATTCGTAGCCGAAGATGCCGTTCGGAAAAAAAAAAAAAGATCATTAGATGGATGATGGAAGAGATAATGATAATTTCGAAAAGAAATGTCGCATCTTTTAGAAAGAATTGATTTCCAGAATTCGCAGTTTCTAAATATATGCGTGGAAATGCTTTTTATAATATAAAGAAAATATCAAATATGTTTATTTTATTAGGCAAAGTTTTTGGACGAAATTTTGATAGCGAGATGCTAATGACGAACGTGAGACCAATTAGGGAGATGGATGAAATCTAAAAGAGTGAGCGTACTGCTACGCACAGCTGATTGCAAATGTTACATTCGTATAGATTATGAATGTGACGCTTTTTTATCAAAAAAAAAAAAAGCGATAACGATTACACACATTGTAACGCGTCCCATGCGCATTTCTTGCCAAAAAAAAAGGTAGACAATAGAAAGTAAAAAGAAGCAAAAGAAGTTTGCGACGTGTTTCAAGTAGAGATAATCGCGTCTGTAATTAGACAGACAACTAGCGGAGACATTCGTAATCGGTTCGCGAACAATTAATCATCAATTATTTTGTTAGTCGATAATCGATTGTAGAATTATAAAAAATGATATGATATAATATGAATATTTTTATCTTGGAAAAATATCTTAGCGCTAGAAATACGCAGCCGGTCATCTAGCTTCACGGCGAATTTTGTGGGCGGAAATGAGTGTGACAGTTACATAGGTTTCATGATGTCGTAAAGCAACGCGTGTTACAATTACGCACGCGTTAGTCACGCGTACTCGCGCGTATTTAAAGCACGATAGTCGACGCGAATAAAGTAGTAATGCAACCGTAATGATTTCACCGCGTTGCTTTTAGACGCGCATCGCGATTATTAAGCGACTCCTCGAAGTATATTTAATGTAGCTTTATAACTCCAGGTAGACAGGCGCGCGGAATACCAAGTTCTTTTAAGCACCACTTGAAAAACTTACGTATCAACCGTTAATACCGTTATTATACTTTATATTATTCTGTACAGAAATATAATTATTAATACCACGCAAATAATTTGGAATTTTATTTTTAGTATTCACTCGAATACATTCATGTCGTAGCAAAATATGAACGGATCGTATCTCAAAACTCGTAAACTTGATATTTCCAGGACAAACCCTTTTAACTCGTCAAGAGGAGATAATCGAGTTGCTCGAAAGGGCACTACTCTTTCTCCCGCTGTATTTTAGTCTCGAGTAATTTTCGTCGCTGCTTCATGTCTCATTCTAATCTCCGAAAACTACAAAACTCTGGTTTGTCTGGAGTGAGCTCAAGTAAAATACGGAAGAATTGTTTCAGGAAGAACTGCTCTAATTTCACTATCTAGCTCACAGCGAAAGTTAACGCAGTTAATGCTACACAGCTGGAGCAATTAATCACACCAATGATTGGAGAACATTTTGTCGCATGCGGGATGTAAGCACGGGATGGACTTACCTTACCGGCAGCCTTCGCCTTACGTCGAATCTGGATGTGTAAAGTATAAGGACGGGAAGAGAGAGAGAGAGTTGTAAGAAAGAGAGACGAAGAGAGAAAGAGCAATTGTATACGTGCGTGCCTGTATGCGTATATATATACGCATGTATGCGTGTACGTGCAGCGGGGATTATTTTTGGATCGAACCGCACCAAATTTAGTTCCTGCTCGTGTCTAGCGTATCGTATGGCCCGCCGAGGAACTCTACCGCTCTACGACTAGGCCTTCCAATCGGTCACGACTCCGGGTCGCGAGGATGCATCGGCGTTCCCCGATAGGTCTGTGCACCAAGCAACGACGGGAAGCAGCGGGACCATTAATTCTCTCGCTCGTTGATATCGCGCCCCGGTTATTTATATCGCCGTCCGTTCCCCTCCTCCCCCACGATGTCGTCGCACGCGATGACGACGAGGCGCGTACGCCTAACGCGCGAGTTTACCCTTCGACACCCGGGTCACCGTCGAGAAAAATGATTCGGAATTTTTCATCGGCGATCATCCAAAATTCTTAGATTCAAAATTACGAAAGAAAGATATCTCCAATATGGGAAAGGATATGTTTACTTCATGTGCTAGTCTTGCTTTTCAAAAAGTTAAGATATGTTTATACAGCGATCTTTTTGTAGTCTTTATCATTATTTCGAATGTCGATGCGCAGTATAATACTTATTTGTCAGGTGTCTCATCATTGTTAGTATTACACTCAATTGTGTAACAATGTGTGAATAAAACATTTCTGTTTACCGCTGGAAGTAAAGTATAATATTGTAAAAGAGAGAGAGAGAGAGAGAGAGAAAATGTGGAGTAAGTTTAAATGCCAAGACATGTTTCTCAAAAACAAGTCTTGGCATATAAACATGTTCACCAACATTTTAATAATAATAATAATAAGACGCGCTAAAAAAAATTTTTTTCAAAAACAGGATAAATCGATAAATCTGCCAAAATAACCGCGGTTATAACTGACGTATAATCAGCCAATATAGAGTCAAAATTAAGACAATTTCCGTTTCGTAAGTAATTTCTATGAATAGTAATGTATCAATATATAAAGTACATTTGTTGTTTTAAAAATGACGTTGGATAAAATAATTGATGGAATTGTCGGAATCGATCCTATCAAGATTGTTTTTCTTTAAACGGTCGAGACACTCATATTGAAAGTCAAAAATAAATATAAAGGTGTCTTGATCATTCTAGACGTTTCAACATACTTTAAACGTTAGTCTCTGCCGTACGTAACTCGAGGACGCAAATATACTATTCACCGCGAATCAAAGAACTATACTCACCGCGTATGATCTAAAATATCTTTTAAAAATGTTTACTTTCTGTGTTTTCAATGTTAAAAACGATGAGGTAAAATATTTTGAGTTTTGAAGCGACTTCGAGTATATCACCCGCGTGCCTAATCGACCATATATATAAAGATTATAAGTGCCAAAAATAAATATCTCAGGTCAAACTCCTCTAAAATAATCTCTATGTGTCTCGAATAATTTTAGAAAGAGAATCTCTGTCCTCCCACATAATAACAATATTCTTTTCGTTCACCATGAATAATCTGATAAATATACTATCCATGAATAATCTGATAACTATAATATCCAAAAATCTACATCGTTTATGGAATAGTTTCGGAATCTTTTCAAGGGGAGGAAATAATTTGGGAAATGTAGCAACTTTTTCTTTTTGTCTTCTTCGATTACGGCAAAAATTGCTTCAATATTTTCACTGCGCACTTATGAAACTAAATGCGATAGTTTAAAAAATTTACCGCAGGAAATCATCTAATACAATATAACGAGCGTTACGGCTTTCACGCGTAATAAAGCCGTGATAAATCAGCGATTTAGACGCGTATGTGTATGTATGAAGTATCATGTAACTATCATTCCTTGGATTCCTTTAATATGTAAATTGCTTGATTTATTCTACTTGCATAATTCAAAAAATATCAAATCTGGAAAAATCCAGAAAAATCCAAATAGTTTTCGAGCTATAAATAAATTTCATTAAGATTATCAACCTGTTTATATATATATAGGATATAAACAGATATATATCTCCATTAATTTTAAAGTCTTTGTACATATTTTTTTTAAAATATTACATAATAATTTTATTAACATAAAAAAAATATTTTAATAGCAAAAAATCCAGAGTCTTAAATATTGAGGCATTGATATTGTGAGAAACACGATATTGTGAGAATTATAATCAAAAAATGTGTAATAATAGATAAAAAGATGAGGATAGTTTAGCGTATACATCTTGCATGATTATAAATATGTAATAACAAGCATTAGATTGAATCGATGCTGGTGTTGACGTGCATAATTTGAATAATGTCGTCATAATATAAATAATGCAAATGATAATATCGCGAGAAACATATTCCTTTGGCAATGAATATTAAATCATTATTATATCATAAGATTATTAGACTTCTCAAACATCTCCATAAAATTCAACAAAGCTTTGGAAAAAATCTAATATATATTTACTAAGCATTTTCATTATCTTATTAATAAAATTACAATTTTATAGTATTAAAGAATTAAAATTAATAAAATATTAACAGAAATTTTATAGCAACAATCGATTTTTTACTAGAATAAGTCAATTTTATACAAAAAATATATGTCGTTTGAAAAAAAATGTTTATCACGCATATTATATCAAATTTTTATAATCTATAAGAAACGTTATCCGGATATTTGCGTTAGAGAATCAAACTAATATTAAGAATTAATTAAACGAAGCAAAATAAAAATAAATATAAGGATGGTTTATAAATATTACAATACTTAGCGGTTCAAAAAGAAACAAGACGAGCCATCGACAAGGCGCGCGGATAAAAACCTACCTTCCCGTTTTCATCGACCGCTAACAGGTGGATTGATTATCGGATACGTGTCCTCGGTGGGAATGGGGAAAGGGCAGAGGCGACGTGCCACCTGGCAAATGGCAATCACGAGACGACGATGACGAGAAACCGATGCGATCGATGCTGGATCACGACGAGGAGAGAACTCGACGCGCGTGTGTAAGTCACGAGCTATCTCTCGACTAAGGTTGCGCTAGATGGCTACCGGCTAGCAAATGCAACTGATCGCGCCGAAATCCTCACCGGAGTACGCGGCCCGTGGAGTCTCTCTCCCGGCGCGGTAGTCGTTCTTGGCAGGAAGAAATGGTAAAGAGTGTGAATAAAACATTTCTGTTTACCGCTGGAAGTAAAGTATAATATTGTAAAAGAGAGAGAGAGAGAAAATGTGGGGAAAGAAATCTAATATTTACTTAGCAAACAGAAATCGCTTCCAGCGGTAACACGGATGGCAGGATATGATGCTTAATTAATTTGTTGTCGATACTGGCGGCATTTCATATTTCTCTCTACTCTGTTTCTACCGCACGAAAAAATACTCACGAAGAGAAAAGAAAGCATTCGGGTGGAGTATCGAACATGGCGCGACGAGGACCATCTGCGAGACTAAACGAAAAATCCGCGTTTATATATCCTTAGCGTCATCGTAACGCAGATAGCGCTATCGAATGATCGGTCGTATCCCGATCGAAATAATCAGATCATGTGATTGCCAGTGGAGGAAAATACTTACTGGTCGGACACTATTTATGCCGGCAGGACCAAAGAAATATTCCCTTCCATATGCAACTATTGCCGTGTGCCATATTCCATTTAACTGACGACCTGTAAACAGATGAAACGGGGAATTAATGCTCGTTCTAATAACAAACGGAATCAAAATTATAAATATGTATCGTCACATATTTATATTATTTTCTTATATAATATAATATTTTTTATTTATTAATAAAATAAGTCCTTCTCTTACACTAACAATAAGTAATAAAATAATTAATCAGTTAATGAACAATTAACATAGTTATAGCAATAATGTGATAATACAAATAAGGATACGATAATCATACAACAAATAATCATACTGCCGTAAAAAAGGAAGGAGAAGAAAAATAAATAACCATCTTGAAAATTAGTAGATTAACCGGGTTCAAATTTTCAAATCCAGGAAATTACTCGAGATCGTGAAAATTTATTCTATTTTCATCCCGGGCGTGATCCAACAAAGCAACCTCGAGACAGGATTAAGCTCAAGCTCGCCGATAGTCTTATTCAAGGACCGACAGAGAGACGATAATAATCATCGCGACTTGTCTTCGCGTAGATGAGCCCGTTAGATCTAGGCATAAAACGCGAAGCTCGCGGGCCCGGATGAAGCTCGATCTTGCTCGTATATGTGCCTTCTTCGACCCAGTTCTGCATCGCGGAAATAGCTAAGTACATCCGCGTACACACGTCGTTTCGTAGCTTTCTTATTGCGCTCGGGCCTCCAAGTGGTGTCGACCTCGCAAGAAATAACCTGGCCGTTATAATTACTTCCAGAGCGATGTGAGACGCAACGCTGTCGACGCTTGTGACGAATCCATGACTGTGAAGCCAATCTCATATAATTTTCACGTCTTACAAATAAAACAGAATACTTATAAAACAATTTAATGCAATGTAATTTCTTCATTTCAATGATAAGAGAATATTTTTTTAGGAATCTTTTAATTTCGCGTTTATATTTTCTCCGTATATGTAATTTCACTTGACATTCGTTCGGTCCAGGAGGATTGCCAATTTATTCAGATCGAACGAGGCTTTTTCTCAGTGTTGGAACAAACCGCGGGATACCAATCACGCATACATACAAACTGTGCATACGATGCACTCGAAAATAGACACGCGGGATGCTCGAGAGTGTGCGAGCGAACCATGGACACGTGGCGCGAATTGGTCCGCGTATGTGCTTCACGCCATTCGCATGGAATTTCCTATGTATTACGAAGCACCCCATTCTGGCATCCCTTCCGGTTACTCCCGCGTCTCGTTGCACATACGCAATTCTTCAAATCCTGTCCCGAACGTATCGTATTTACACGCGCTTCTGCTATGAAGAAGCGAATATTCTATAATTGCCATTTTTTTCAATCTTTTATCATTTTTAATACCAAGTTCCTATAAATTAATTAAATATTCGCTTCTTTAATATTTCAGATTGACGTATATTATATATTTCAGTCGCTTTTTTTATATTTTATTTTTATATTCCATACTGATGCGACCTGTGATTTTGCGCATCGCACTCATCGCATCCGACGCACTGCCGCGCAGTGCATCAACAATTAGATCCGTCACGAGGATGACCGATACGACAACCATATGACGACAACGTCGTCGCTCTGAGTCATCGTCGCCCAAAGTGTCACCGATTCTTTGGTGCGCTTGTTTATATTTAAATCGTCTTTGATCCAAAATCGTCGTATAATTTGGCAAGAATCGCGCATGTCACCATGTTTAAGAGACATTCGATTTCTCTAGCCGAGAGCAGAGATGAAAAAGCGTCGCAATGCAATAATTGCGAATGACGCATGACACACGACGATAACGATATTCAAGAGTTATAACTATGCATGACTGGCAACATTCCTTCTACGAGTGCTAATGCATTCCATTATCTATTTACATCCGGCATCATTAATGCGGAACGACTTATCGCAATTATCCCTGTACACGATACGATATCGATACTTGGAAAACGAAGAACGCGCGTCAGCAGAATTAAAGGACGAGAGTTGTGTATGCGTTACTGCTGAATCATCTCTGTTGAATGACGTATAGACATTTCGTCAACTCTCATCGTACGCAATATGCTGTCTCTCGTAGGTGTTTCGTAGGTTTCGTTCTCGTAGGTTTTTTTTTCGATGCGCTTTATACATTCCTTATGATTTCATAGTTATTCCGAAACATAATGGATGTTGGCTAGAGATGTTGGCAGATACATTTTGGAGCATGCATTCGCGCATTGCATACAAAAATACATTATGTACAATATAATTCCTCGAGAGGATTCTCCAAACAGAAAAAGAATATTTTTTTAAAGTTTTAAAAAAGTTTTGTTATTTATGTATACCATTTATATTAACAAATAAATTAAATATCCCTTCTTTCTCTCTCTCTCTCTTAGAAACCATTTATCTCACAAAATCTAACAAGAATCTTCGCAGAATTAAAGATAAATTCTTAAAAAAATTATATGTTTATTATAATGCATATTAGTAAAAATGTTTGCAAAATTTAAGACTACTTTGCTTAGCACAAGCCTCAATAAGAGTTCTTGTTAATAATTTTACAAATGTAAAACACAACTATGTTCCTGCTAATAAACAAAATATTCATACAGGTAAGTATTGATAAAAGGTTATTTTGCGTAATTACAGTATAAAATTCATCGCCACTGACAAAAGATATGCCAGCGTTTGATTTATTTATATCCGAGTACGATCACCTGGTAAAGTGCCTGCGGTTGAAGGCATCGTGGCCATGTGACCAGATAACAATTCGCGATTAATTCGAAACGTCACTTCCGCTGCAACGAGATGATCGTATCGAATTTTTCGGATTGTGCAAAATTACATGCATTACGCGCATAACAGCAAATAAATATAATTAGATAAAAATGTTCATATATAATCGTAAATGAAATCTTTTGTATTCCGGAATAAAAATATCTCTGGAAACTATAAGAAATATTTAATAAAAAAAAAATATATAAAACGAATAGAGCAAGAGTGATGAGAAAATAATATAGATGTATAGGGAACGTACAGTGACAAAAACCTGATTCTCAAATTTTTATGATACCGTACCGTTATGATTCCCGGGTGATAGAGCTCCGTATCACGCGTTGCGTGCAAAAATCATGGAAAAATGCAAATCGTAAGCGCACGCGAGAGAAGGCGAATGCCGCGCGCATCGTCGCAACGTGCGATGCGCATACCGATTCCTCGTATACATAGATATATCGACGGCGTGCTTTCGAAAGAGCGCCAGGGGTCGGCGTCCGCTTTCATCCCGCCGTAGCGCAGGTTGCATAGTGCGCGGAGCAACGCGTCGTCGGGTAATCGTTTGGACGAGAGAAAGCAGCGCTCGTCGCTTTCTCGGGCCTCTCGGTGCGAAAGCGAGATTGCGAGAGAATCGTATCGTCTTTGTCGTCCTTGTCGTCGCGTGCGCGCGCGCGCGATCACGCAATTCGATCGACTGACAGTGACGGAGAGGGAAAAAAAAAGAGAGAGCCAAGTCGCGCGCGGTGGAAGAGCGCGCCAAGCAAAACTTACCCAGCGTCGACAAGAGCCTCCCAGAGGGACGCGTACACACAGCGACTTGGTACTCGCTCGATCACCACCAGTGGGGCAGGATAGTCGCTTAGTCGTCGAAACGTCGAGATTCCTCGTGCGTCTTCGTATTCGTTGTACCGCGTCGAGCGTCGAGCGTCGAGCCGTGACGGTGACGGTGACGGTGACGAGATTCGTGCTTGGGTCGCGCTCAGCTGACTCTTATCTTGTATAGGAGAGCGTCGAGAACGCGCCGCGAACGGATAGCAGGACGAGACTAATAAGAGGGTAGTGCGTGTGCGCGTGGCCGACGTCGCGAGAGCAGCCGCGCGACGACATCGGTATTCGGTAGCCGTAGCATCGCCCGCGAGAAATCGTTCGCCACCCGAGGTGCGAAGAGGTTAGGTCGACCCCACCGACTCTCCGACGTTGACTCGACAGTTTTTCTCACGCTCGGAGCGTCGTCGCGACGCGCTAGGGACTTTGGCGCCGCCGCGCACCCGTGCGGCCGTACCATACAGCGAGCTTGGCTTGAACAGCTGATTCACCACACCGACACCGGCGAAATGTCAAAACCCGGGCAATTTGTAAGTCATCGCGACGGCACGGAATTAATTGCGAGCGCGATTCCGTTGAATCGTTTTCCCTCTATTTAATGAAACTTTCCAATCGATTGCATCGTAATGTATCTGCGATAAATTCTCGGATATAACCTACACAATCGGGTCTAATTCCGACTCTCTTGTGATGTTGTCTGGTCTCTACATGCTTTCTTGATTATTCATAATTATTTGATAATTATACGATCGTGAATCTTTGATATCAAATACAAATGTTTCTTTATAACATCTATTTTCGTGACACAATAATTTTTTGAATAGATAGTTAATTGGATATCTTTGTAGAAATTAAAAAATTTACTCTTTGCTTAATATAAATATATTTGATTTTTATCTGAAAAAAAATATATATATGTTTTATGTATTTACAAATAATCAGAATATATATCTCATTGTTATTCTATCTAGATATATAGACATATAGATGTTATTTATATATAAATGAAAAATGAATAATGTACAAAGTTGCAATGTGTTGCTTGTTTTTGTTATGGATAATTCTATTTTGTGATATAATGTGTTTACAAAAATTTATTTTTATTGATAAATATAAATTTGTCTGTTATATATTTGTTTGTTTATTTACTTCCAGATTCTACGCGTCCAGTCATCAGAGGGAACAAAGCGTATAGAAGTGCTAGCTTCTGATACACTTTCTCGACTTTACGAAAAGGTATAGATCATGGAGGATATTCTAATCTTTCTATATATCATGTTTTAGAATAATGAAATTTATTCTGTTAATCTCTTTTGTGTAGGTGTATGAAGCCTTTGATTTAAATAGTTTTGGATTTAACCTCTGTAAGCAACGAAATCAGAAAGAGCCACTTACATCTACTCGAAGTAGAACGGTGTTAGGGACAGGTCTTTCCCATGGAGATATGCTTTACCTTGTGCCATCCAATGGCACCCAATTATGGAGTGCTCCGTCAACCAGCAGTGCCTCCAATAATGCTTCTACAGGTATGAATAATTATTTACATGATTGATAGACCATTGGCATACGTAGAACATTAAAATTACCTGAAATGATAGAATAAAGCAATTATTACGTAATATCAAAAACATAATATAATTTATTCAAGATTATAGTATTAATATTAACAAAATTAAACTATAAAACATAGACATAATAACCAAGAAAAATATTTATATTTATAATTAGGAGAAACTATTCGAAACATTCTTTCAAATGTGTGTGTGTATATATATAGAATAATTTTATATATACACACACATGTTTGTATGTATTGTATATATGTATGAATTTGTGTATAAAATTTTTTTCATTTATCAAAGATCAGACCTTTTTACTAACATTGTTTTGTATATTTAAACATAGAACCAGGGTCAATTGATACCACAAATGGAATTACAAATCGCACATCTGGTCTTTCACGATCTCTGACAAATGTAGTTGAAGATGATGTCGATGAGCAATTATGGAAGCTAGATGGAAAAATCCAGCGTAAACGCGACGAAAAACTGTAAGAAAGTAAAAAACATTAAAAGATAATATCGAAACAGAACGAAAAAACATGTGCTTTTACAGCTGTCGACATGGAGCAAAAGGATGCTGCGTGCATTGCTCGCCTCTGGAACCTTTCGATGAGATTTACCTGAAAGAACAAAATATCAAGCACCTGTCCTTTCATTCACATCTTAGGAAGCTCACTGCCGGAGTTGATAGGTACATAAATATACAATGTGAAATGATTGTACAAACATTATTACAGAATATTCGACTGTATCTTGTATATATTTGTCGCAGGGGCAAGTTTATACAATTAGATGACATAAGCTGCCGTATAAAGACTGGCTGCAAGGATCATCCGCCATGGCCGCGAGGGATATGCAGCAAATGCCAACCGAACTCGATCACTCTGAACCGCCAGACTTATCGACATGTGGATAACGTCATGTTCGAAAATGCTAGTTTAGTAGAACGTTTTCTTAACTACTGGCGTAGCACTGGGCATCAGCGTATCGGTTATCTATACGGAAGATACGAGGTACATTCGGATGTCCCGCTAGGAATTAGAGCAGTCGTTGCGGCTATATATGAGCCACCGCAGGTACGTAGAGCTCGTGCACAATCTTCGATAAATCTATAAACATACACATTTTTTATGAATGAATATAATATACTCGCATTGTGATTGATCAGGAAAGTACAAAAGATACGATAAGACTTCTGCCGGACGAGAGGGAAGCGTTAGTCGAGGAATTAGGCCGGACACTTAATCTGAGGAGAATCGGATGGATTTTCACCGACCTCATAGCCGATGATGTCAAGAAGGGAACGGTAATATATTTTTCTTTCTTTATGTAATGTTCGTATACCGAATCCGCATATGTACGGCGATTAACACTGTCAGTTTTATTCGATCAGGTCAAACACGTTCGCAATATAGAAAGCCATTTCCTATCTGCTCAAGAATGCATTATGGCTGGATATTTTCAAAACCGATATCCAAATCCCTGCCGCTTCTCGCCTAATGGTTATTTTGGCTCAAAATTTGTAACTGTTTGCGTCACAGGTGAGTCAATCATAATTCACGATATAGATATATTTTTCTTCAAAAATATTAAGTTGATTAAAAGTTTGCCTTTTTAATTGAGATAAGAGCCACATAGGAAAAGGCGAACAAATTTTTTCGATCAACTTAATAGTACATAATAATTACGCTTCTTTTTTCTATCTGTTACGAAATATCAATTACAAACGCCATGTACAATTACGGTTGTGAGAAACGTTTTTCCTGTAAATTACAGGTGACGATAAAAATCAAGTACACATGGAGGGCTATCAGGTATCCAATCAATGCATGGCGTTGGTACGAGATGGCTGTTTGGTTCCTACAAAAGACGCACCGGAATTGGGCTACGTAATCGAGTCGACCGATAAGCAATACATTCCGGATGTCTTCTACAAGGTAAGTTCGAATATATCGATTTTATTCTCCCTTCGATTACGTTTTTTTGAATCACTTCGATTTATGTCTTTGTATATGTATATCGAACGAGTGCCTTTGAATTTTTTATGTCTACCGTAATCTAATATTTATTGAAAGTTATGCCATTTTATCGCAAAACTTCATATATACCTATAGGTATAAGGGTAATACGCACAAATCATAATACTCACGTGAAATGAGAACAGTTTATAACTCAAAATCGATCGATTAAAAGTACATTTAAGTTGGGGCGATAAACATTCACTTCGTACATGTATAATGAAATAATAAAATTCGTTTAAACGACGGCTCTCTACGGTGTAATTACCGCGAACCTGAAAAAAATAGCCACGATCTTCGCATTCTCAATGATCATTATATCTCGAAAGGAGGGTAAGAGAGAAAGGGATAGAACGGAAGTAAGAAAAAGGAGATATAAGGAAGAAAACAAAATAGCGAGGTAGAAAGATGAGAGGAAAGAACTTGTCCAACTGTTTACAGCCGTTCAATCGTTTAATCGCACGCGAGGGACAAGACAAATCGGTCGGTCGTTAGAATCGATATTATAAGCTATGCGTTGTTACCTCATCACGTTCATAAAAATATATGTAGTTTATATATTTGTATATATATATACGCGCGCGCATAGAGGTATCCGTGTACGTGTGTATGTTATGTATGTATGTATATATGTATGTATACAGGTGGGCCTGTATCGTTAGTCGCTTCGGTACAATATGTCCTTTTTTTTCTTCTCACGATTGCGTCTCTACGATTACGTACTAAGAGTTACAATTTGTCGGAGTCTTCTTCGCTCGGAAGCGAATTCGTTCATTCATCCATCCGTTCGAACACACACAGCCACCCCCGCTTACGGTCGTCGTGTATATAATAATATTGTACATGTACAGGAGCGAGTTATATTTATTCCTAAAGACGACACACAACGCGACGCGTTTCGCGTTGCGTCAATAATCGCAATGTCGATCGCGAGAGACGCGTTTCTTTTTATTAGCTAATCAACAAGTGTTAAAACTTTCAAGTTCAACATCGAATGAGGCTTTTCTTCGAGAAGGCATATCCGCGACGACGCGAGGGCGTGCAATTTTTGCTATTACGGTAACGCGTGAGTGTGCCTTGCCTTGTACGCGCGTGGAAATACGCGCGCACGTGTCCGCGCGCGAGAGGGGGAGAGAGAGAGAGAGAGAGAGAGAGACAGACAGAGAGAGAGAGAGAGAGAAAAAGACGCGTTCGCTCTCGCACGCGCGCGCGTGTGACAGTGTATATATAACGATACATAATGGGACTTCATTACGAGAATTCAGACGAGTAGTTATAACGCAATTACATTATCGTAGTACGATATATAGGAATGATTTGTTTAATGTACATATATATATATATACATATATATATGTATATATATATATATTCGCACATTTTTTTCCTTCGTTCGTTTTTCGATTAGACGACACGAGGCTTACGATCTACATAGTAGTAGTTAGGCCTTGCATACATTTGCGACGTATTGAGATCTAATCTTAAATACAGATATATATAATTCACGATGGTTCGCTAGTTTAGAAAGAACGAAAAGGGAACAAGTTTGCCACCAGTATTCGTGCAGCAGAATCACAAGACGAATCACAAGACTTCTTCGCAAGACGCGCGCGCGATGAATATCTCTTTTTTTTTTCTGTTCCCTTTTAGCTCTTTTCCTCGCGCCCCTGGAACGGAACGATACGCGACATCGTGTTTGACGAACCGCAAATTGCCCTTCTACGAGATTAACTATACCAATATTTTTACTTCTTCTTTTCGGAATCTAAGATTCTAAACAACAAACCTTGCGTTTTGTATAGAATCATACGAGTCGCGACTTTTAGCATGAAGTCGCGAAGATGCCCACCTACGATTGCTCGCCCACAAAAAAAAACAAAAAACTCGAAAGGGTCAAACATCCGTTCGCGCGCAGGTTTCATCATCACCTCGCTTTCAAAAGTATATACGCATAAACGTGATACGCGGTTCGATTAGTTCCCGATATAGTTTGCTATACTTAAATTCCCCGGTCTACACGTTTGTTTTCCTTTTATTCATCTATCTACGACCTAAAACATTAGCTGCGCACGCGGAGCCGAGCAGAGAACTGTCTACCGCGAATCGCACGGTATTTTCGCCATTATATCACGCCCGACGCGCGATACGCGCTCTAAGAACTATAACGTAGTTTAGCAGAGTTAACGCCGATAATAGCCAAAATAAACGTTGGACCTCTCTCTTCCTAAAAACAAATACGTCGTATCAGCTAGAGAAGTCGTATCGATATCACGGTCGATCTCTGAGGTACGTATGTGTATGTGTATGTATCTCGATCATCGTCATTATTATTGTTAGCAGAATCTCATATCGATTCCCGGTCAATAGCAAAATATGGATTTTTTTATTTCTTTTTTTTTCTCGCACGCGCTCACGATTTAAAAATAGATTCGACATCTTTAGACACTATTGTTAATAGTTAATTAAGTTGCGTGACTCGTACGGAGCGTTCGAGGATTCGTGGATAAACGTATCGCGACGGTGTCCCCGAGTGAATATACGCGGCGGATATAATAATTATAATAATAATCGTCTCCCATCGTTGGGCAATTACGTGTAACGCGTTTCTTTTTGTATTTCTTCTTACGTATAAGTTTCTCTCTCGCCGAACGCGCGAGTCGGGAAAATCGTCGCGACCTTCCTTCGGTTATCTATAGCGGGAAAACGTGTATACGGCGTTATATAATATGTATATGTATATACGGGATATACTGCTCTCTCTCTCTCAGAGAGTTTACCCCACGCTACAACAAACCGCGCGACAGCGACAGCATAAACGTTACAATTTACCGCACTTCGTGATTAGAATATTCTTGGTAGGCTTGCCGGTCTGATCGCCGAACGTAGATATCTTCTCCACCAGGTCCAATCCCTCGATTACGTGGCCGAAAATGCCGGTGAAGCCACGCATCTCCTGCAGTATTATGCGAAACTGTGAGCCGACCATGCCGAGGTTGTCGTGTCGCTTCTGCGTCCGTCTCATTCCCACCGCACCCCTGACCGCCGGGAACTTGGTGTCGTCCGGCATGAAATAACCGTCTTCGTATATGCTTCGTCCGCCGCGACCGTTGTTAAGCTCAAAATCGCCCGTGATCACGGACTCGCCCTCCCAGCACTGGAATATCGTGCAACCCTTGTAACCGACTCCGGCTTCCCCTGTTGACAACACGCTGAAGTTTTTCGCCATCTTCGGCGCTGCGTCCGGTCGCACCTCAATTACGATGCGTCCGTGCGGTGAGCCGTTTACCTCGATGTTGAAGTAGTACAGAGGATACGGATTCGCTGGGCCCCGCGTGAGTGTCGCCGTTATCGCGTTGGACGGCGGTTGGGGGGACGAGTGGACGGTCACTAGACTGCCACCACCGGCGCCACCGGTACCGACCGTATCAGGCATGAATGTCGACTGCTGTTGTGGGTGCAGCATGGCGTTGGGCGGTGCGGGCGGTACAGGTTTGATGGACGGTGAACCGGGTGGAATGAGAAGCTGCTGCGGAGTCTGGTTCGGTCCCGGTGGCGGCGGTGGTGGACCCTGATGAACGTGAACGGATCCCGGCGGCGCCTGTTGTGGTGGCGGCATCATATTCGAATGATGGTATTCCATCGAACCGTTCTGCATATGCTGTTGCTTGCTGACAACGTGACGCGTGTACAATTGCGACATGCAATAATTTGCAAGAAATAGTATCGGGTTCTGCGAGGCTGCCAAGTGATTCGCTAGGCGACCGCCATTGCCCACTCCTTGGGGAACGATCGGATCCCCCGTATGAATGCCTGCCAGTGCTTGCTTCAGCAGGGCAAAGTCGAAAATCACGCCAGAATTACCGATGAGATCGTCCAGCTGGCACTGCAGCATCATTTCCTGATACTTGGATTGCAACCGCTGTTTCTCTAGAACGAGCTGCGAGTGCAGACTATACACGTCGCCCGGAGTTTCGCTCATCTGCAAACCGGCCTTCGTCTTGCCCAGAGTTTCGCGCGCGTCCGTTATCTCGGGAAAGTGGCTCCAACCGTTTTGCAGATCCGTCTCCACGTGCGTCTTCAACGTTACGCATGCCTCCAGTACCTTTATCAGAAACTCGCGTTGCTGCACAGCCAGTCTTTGAATCTCGGTCGACAGTTTGCCCACGGCGACTAACTCCAATTGAACCTGTGAACGAATGCACGCGTTTTCACAACGTTAGTTCTTCGATGTATAGTTTCTCGAGCCTGTTCCTCGAAATTTCAACGGAAAATAGTACTAACTAACAAGTAGGAACAACTTACGTCGGTAATGAGTTGTTCTTTGGCATCGATTTGCGATTTAATCTGATGACCCGGGTGTTCTTGCGGAGTCGCGCACGCTCTACAAAGCGCCGTGCAACATGTCGCACACCATAATGCCAGCGGCATCCCGTGTGTGTGACAGTTCTCGCTCTACGAAAATATTAAACATTATCGACCTACTCAGAGTCCACCACCACGTCTATGTACGAGAAGTTCCATGACCTTTCAAGACCAAACTAGAAATATGAATTTTTCGTTTTTATCATAGAAAAATATTCGGACGCTATTTTGTCCGGACATATCTTTTTCAAGAGAAGAAATGTGCGCAAGACAACCGCGAAATTATCACAAATTCGAGAATAATCGTCGAGAGACGTTCTTACAACATCATTCTACACTACCGGAATCATTTTCTCTCTTTTGGTATAATTTCGCACTTTCCATGGCGTTTCCTCCGTCACGCATACACGCACACATGTTGTATACATTCCGCATGAACGAAGATATATATTCCGTCTCTTTTTCGGCGCCGACAAAAGTTCACCATTTACCGTGCGATATTACAGCAGTTGCGTTGCGTTCTCGAATAATTTTTCATCATCTAAATTTCATACAACGTAATTTTATTCAGCAGAGATATTTTACGGTAAATTTAGATGAATCAATAGTCGTATAATATAACGTTCATGATGCGATTTCTTAATTTTATTTTCTCAAAATTAATTATTTAATATATTTCCAATATATTTTTACAATATATATCGCGTTTTCAAATATAGATAAAAGATGTAAAATTGTAAAAAATTAAATTATAAGAACCATATATACATAAATTATTACATTTGGAAGAAAATGTTGCGCGTTTCATGGCGTTTCATTGCTGGATGAGTAGGAAAATATCGAAATGAGATTTCAACAAGATTCATACAAGAATCTCGCTCATTTGAAATATCGAACAATCAATCGGCGTTACCTTCCTCTCCTTGTCACCGGGTTTGCCGGATGTGTTGTTCGTCGTGATTTTGAGGCGTGACAGATTATTGGCCAGGGCAAGTAGAGGAGAATGAGTCGGTAGAGCGTCCGGACCTTGATCGCCCAAGTCTGTCTTCTTCCAACAGTGGGCGCAAAACAGATCTCGCCCCTTCAGTAGATTGCTCTCGATGCAGCGCAGACAGAAGTAGTGCTTACAGCTGAGATACTTGGGACATTGCTCCGCGTCATTGTACTTCTGCTTGCAGCAACCGCAAAGCGTCAGCTCCTCCAGGTCCGTTAGCACGCTCGGATCCAGCATCTGGAAACGCAACATACATGTACATACGCGTGCGTGCATATCTCGCAACTTCATCGTATGCATACACGCATGCAACACACACGCAAACACAAAGTTCCTCCATATATCGTAACGTAAAGTAAGAAGTGCTGAAATAATGAGTACTAACGGAATAAAATTTCTGCTGTAGTGGAATTATATTCCAACGCTATTCTGATCGTATCGATCGATGTATTAAATTTAGATACATCGCGAGATAAAGTTTATACCACGACTCGAATCGATTTTGTTATATCAAAGTCTATCAGAGTACGACATAAATTTGATGTTATCGTACAAGTCACTATACTAAATTTTGTTCAATTATTATTCATTTCAGTAGGCAATTCATTACTCCATTCGTCTCATTCATTTTACGCGGGAAATTACCTGTTTAAGTAACATCACGCCACGGTAAAAATTACGAACGTAGCGTCAATCTCTCGTGCTCCTGAAATTGCAATTGCCATTTAATTCGCGCTGCTCATGCGAAGCTTAACTTCCAAACATTCACGCAGAATATTTGGCGAAAGATACGCGAAACTGTTTACTCCTTGAATGATTCTCGGAATGTCTGATTTACGTAGAACGTATGTCATTTACGACGGAAAGCTCTAAAAGGTCAAGTCGTCGTCCGCGTATGTACGTATGTAAACAAACTCGGTACACGCGACCGTTCGTCTCTCTCTTTCTCTCATTCGCTCCACCGTTTTTTCTCTCTTTCTCTCTCCCTTTATTTCACATCGCCGCTTTCTTTCTCTTCGCGCACACGGGAGTTCTTTAATACTACTACGATTATTACTATGCGCCATAGACTCGTCTGCCATCCCGCTGCCATGGACTTTCCCGATTTCAAGTACACGCGGCGCGAAACTGCCCTCGCTGTCGGCCCATATTCCTTGACCCATATCGCATTCGTGCGTCATCGAGTCATCGATGAGGTTCCCTGGTTCATAAACGTTTCTCGCGCACAAATCAGATCGTCTCACGTCGCGGTATTGTTTATACGTTCATGTATACGCAATGCTCGACTGACAGGCCCCCGCGTTCGTTTGCCTCTGTCACAGAGGCTTAAATACGCGATTTGGGAAGAGGGTGAATCGATACGGCACGGCGCGGCGCACACGTGACGACGTGGTAAACACACTCGCTCGATCGTTCGATTCACGGTCCGAGGAAATACGGTGACCGATTAAAAGCGGGAAAGCGCGACCGACTTGAACTCGCCCGCGACACCGTTTGTCCTTAATCCTCCTTGTCAACGAAAATGTCTCATCCATTCTTCGAATTTTGTAAATTACAATAATAGATATAACGTGATATGTCTAATACATGTAACGATACTCTCTCTATTCGAAACTGTGAATTAAAATAGCCTTGTATTCTAGAAAATAATTAATATTCGAGAAATCTTATCTCGATATCTAATCTTGATCTTCAGTAAATACTTTTATATATGTATATACATAAACGAGATATTTTAATTCTCGCAATCGCTTATACTTAATTTTTTTCACGAAACAAAGTCTAAAAAGATGTTGCATAATTATTTTGAGAATAGTACATATAGAGTAATATGATAGTATAATAATAATATATCGTGACTCGGATTTATCTGGTTGTGGTTAAAAATAAAGTTAAAAAAAGAGTATTCGTGGTTTTTTCTTTGTATTTGGATATCGAAAGAATTGCGCGGTAAAAATAGTATTGTATATTCAAGAAGCTTATTTTAAAGCTTAATAACACTACCTAATTTAATTAATTTTTAACGCGCACTGGAAATAGTAATACGATTCTTATCGGAAACATTGCATTCTCTAACTATAATATTATTGTTTATTAACTTTCACTTTTTTTTTACCTTCCTAATTAAATATGTTACGCGCGTATTAATTTTTGAACACGGAATCACTCGATGCACATATTTATCGTCGATATCCTTCTAATTAATTGTTTATCGAATTTATAATTATAATCAATCAGTTTTCTACCCCCCTGTTTATTTCAGCTAAATATATATACAAAAGTATACGGAATCATTTATCGGAATAAAAATTTCACTTAATCGAGACAATTGTGTATAGTCTTCTTTAAAAATTTTGGAGCAACACGACTCGCGCTCAAGGGAACGATAAGCGATAGTTGTTTCTTAAGCATATTTTGCAAGCATATTTTTAAAAGTGTAAAGAAGACATTCTTACATTCTCCTCAAGGAGCAATTACGATAAATTCTCCGTATAAAATCTGTATGTTCTCCAAAGCATAAGGATTCCTTATTTACACACGCGTATAAATAAGGAACCCTCATTCTTCGAGCAACAGACTACAAATACTATTCAAAATGAGATGCTCTCCAAGCTGCCACACGCGTATCTTTCTCGCTTCACGCGTTCGCCATATTCCGCGGATCATCCGGTAGTGTGTGCACGCGGACGAGCAAACAAACGATACTTCTCAAGAAAGAGGTTATGTAGGCTCAATGTTCAGCGCGATATCGGCACGATAGATAAGTCATTATGCAACGAGAGGAGCCTCGAGAAGTGTCGTTGGCGAGCTCGCGGACGAGCTCGCGGACGAGCGAGAGAAAGAGAGATGACACTTTACGTTGTTGGCGCGCATGCGCCGGAAATCCCGCCAAAACCGTCGGCGGGTAGATGGGGAGGATGGGTGCTTCGAGGATTCGCCATTCTTCAAGCGCCGATGTTGCCTCTCTCGCGCTCGCGGCAGACGCAAGGGAGGAGAGAGGGAGGGCGGGAGGACGAATCACTCGGACCGAGGCGCCAAAGAGGAGGGGGAGGGGTGGAGGAAGGACGTATATCGAGTGTTCGCGGCACTTCTTCGCGACGTCGTGTGCCGCGTACTGTACGCATACAATATACCACACGCACACACAATAGAGGCGCACCGAGAAGCGCCCGCGTTCACGACGCTTTGGGGACTCGACTCGTTATCGCTCGGGATTTACCTGCTTGCGCCGATAGCTACGCCGATCGTGATTCGCGACGAGCCGACATTCGGGCCGAAAACCGCTCGCGGACTACTGCGTGTCAGATTCCGCGGGAATGTTGTGCGCGCTCCGTCTTGCTCTCCTCCCCCTCCGCCGTCCGAGCGCCGAGCGCGCGCGCGCGCGGGAGCACACTGCGACGTCTCTCTTTTTCACGTATACTCCGACATGCGTTCTCTCTCACTTTCACGCGTCGCTCTCCTTTTTGCACACGCACACATACGGGCGCTCTCCAATCAAGCATCCAACCATCGTACACATGTATTCGAACGTTCCGATTTTATCCTCCTCCCTCTTCTTTTGTCACTCCCTCTCTCTCCTCTCTCTCTCTCCTCTCTTAGTCGGATAGAATTCTGTAAATGCTTCCGTACCGTGTATACGTTTCGCGATCGTCTCCTTGCCGCGCTATGGAGGCTGACCGTTGGCACTCGGCACTTGCGACGCGTGCCGCGACGATGTTCACTGCGCGACGTACGTTTCGACCGTGCGATTCGGCGGCGGCTTTGACTTACATCGGGCCTGACTTACGTCGTGCCGCGCGCGGTTCCTCTCGCACCGAACAACAACCACCACTACCACGAGCACTACCACCACTAACACCGTTGTCGTTGTCGTCACTGTCGTTATCGTTGTCGTCGTGTCGTTGCCGTCGTCGTCCTCGTCGCCGCCGCTACCGTCGTCGTATTCGTCGCGCGATGTCTTTTCGCTGAATCGTACGTACGTTCTCTCTCTCTCTTTCCTCGCGTTTTATTTTTTTTTTCTCTTTACTACAATACGTACCCTCTCTTTCC